CTCTAAACCCAGTTATCCATGAGGATGCCCCTGTTGGGGGCAACAAGAGGAGGAAGATTTAAAGGAAGGAAATCTAGGGAAGCAGCAGAGCGGGTGAGAAGACAGAGATGTATTCTTAAAAGTGATTAGCCAGGTGGTAGGTAAGAGCTATATTCAGTAAAGGCCTATCACCAAAACTCCAGGCTTATTTTGCAATAGGAACAAGAAACCAGAGTTAGAGAAAGAGAAATTCATTTAAACTGCACATGATATTGGCATTTTCACAGACATTATGAGGCCAATTAGGGAAAGAGAAACAAAATTAATAAAGTTCACATGCACCACCTTGCCCCAGTTGTAATCAGCTGTTGCCCACCTCCCTCTTACACCCTTGCCACTTATTTTTCCCAAAGTTTATATATCAGACTTTTTGCTTTAGATGAAGGCCTCATTTCCCAACATTTTTCCAGTTCTTTTAGCACTAGGAATATTCACTGAAATATATTGCATTGCTTATCTATTAGGGATTATGTAACATTCAATCAAGTCTTAAAACTCTCACGCTTGAGTTGGTTTCCAGATCTTACTTTGGAGGGACTCTGTCCTTCTGCATTAGCAACCCGAATTGTTTCTGCTGCATGACACTAATGGAAGCCGTTGATCATTTTTTTAGCACCATTACAAAAACATTAGTTGAATTCACTTCTTTAACCCCCCTGCTATGGTAAGCTTGCACTGAGATACTTTGTGACTAAATTAGAAAATATATTGTAGAAGCTCTACCTTCTGAAAATGGTATAGGCATTTTATAGCTTTCATGCATATTTCTTGAGAAACAATGCCAATAAATTCTAACTGAAAGAAGATATACTTATTTATTGCACTGAGTACAGCTAGGGAAAAATAAAATTCTTTCTCTCTCTCCATGTTAAATTAAAGGCCAGGTAAAGAAGCAAGCCACACCTTAGGGAGACAGTTTAGGCACCCTGAGTTTGGAGGGCTTGTTTACTTGCTCATTTACTATAAGGGGAGAATCACACTGGGGTCCAGGTACTTCTTCTGATATACGTGTCTGGAAGACACAGATAAACATGTTTTTTAATTCACAGCAAGATTTCAATTAGTACTCAAATATTGTAAAGGTTTTACAAATGGCACTTCCCCTTTTACCTGTTATTTCTTACTTACCAGTTCACGTTTGGGAGCATCATGAAAAGCAAAACTTAGGAAAACAGGTTCTAAGGTTCCTCTGAAATTCAGGAACAGATATGTGTTGCCTTTCTGCTTGTTATAACCTTTCTTGGAACAAATTAATTTTAACATACTTTAAATATGGACAAGTAATAAAAAAGGGATAGGAGCATAGTTCCCAACCTCCCCTTGCCTGCAGGCTCCACATCCCACTCCTCTTGGAAGAAGTTCTGTAAAAGCTCACCTAGGTGCCCCCAAACTGGCCCCATGATCGGGGCTAGTGAACACTCACCCACCTCACAGACAAAACTAAATAAATTACCAGAAAAGATCCAATTAGATTAAGGCAGCAGCATAATTTGGGTAGAGCTGAAGCTCCTCATGCCAGCTGTGGCTGAGGAGAGGCCACCTCACACCTCATGATGAGGAGCTGCATAGGGCGGAGCAGAGCTGATGCCTCAAAATGGCAGCACAGGGCTGGGCAAAGCTGATGCCTCAAAATGGCAGCACAGGGTGGGGCAAATCGGACTCCTCAAAATGGCCTCCTGGGGGTGGGGCAAGGCAGGTGCCTCAAGATGGTGACATGAGGCAGGGCATGGCAGGCACCTCAAAATGGCGGCATGGAGTGGGACTAGGCAGATACTTCAAGATGGCAGTGCAATTGACTGAGTTTTCCTCTCCTGTCCCTGAAGGGGTGAGAAATCCAGCAAATAGTTTTCCACACACACCAAATAGAAGTGTCCACACAGTGAGCACGGTATCAAAACACCCATCTTAATGCTATAAGAGACAGGCTGAAGTGGTTAAATTGCAGTTCATTAACCAGTCAAAGCAGCTTGTGCTTTGGGAAGATTCTTGCAGGTGGTGGGAGTGCTTATCCTATTTTTCCTTTAGAGTGCTTGATTTTCTAAAGGAAAAGTATCTTTTCCTTTAGATACTTACTCTAGACAGGTATTCTCCCTTCTCACCTTCTCCTCTACCCTGTTAAACTGCAGGAAAGAAACTAATTCATGAATCCATGACAAGCCTTAGCTGTCATTTGCAAGAAAGGGATCCCAGAGTCACAGGACTGACAGCAAATATATGGAAATGAGTGAAACGAAAGAACAAACAATTTCACAGGAGGCAAAAAGAGAGAAAAGAAAGAAGCAAAGTGATCAGGAAAATGCTGCATCTCCACCAGTGCTGTGGCCACCATCTCCCTTGAGCAGAGGCCCTGCAGAGGCAGCCCTGATGTAGGACCTGCCTCCACCTTGAAATCACTTCCTCCCGTCATCTTCCCTTCATGTTTTCTCAGAGCTGCTGCTCAGGATACCATTGTATGCCAGCATTTGCCTCAAATTTTAGATATTAAAACATCTGTACAACCTTTACCCACTTAAGGCTTATCTTCGTGCTTTCCAAGCCCCTATATGGCCCTAAATGCCACTCGTGGCGTAAAGTGACTCTTGGCCAAATGCCTTTTGTAGCAGTTCCTGACCACTGAGCCACTGAGAAAAATGGGAAGAAACCTAAAAAAACCCAAACAAACCAGCAAAACACCGGGAGCTGGGATGTTATCTTTCCCCACCTGCACAGTTAGGCTCTGTTTTCCCTAGGAGCTTTTAGCAGATATGGGATCTATATACCATGCTAGCAAAGCACTCCCTGGTGTGCTTGCTGTGACACCAGCAAAGCGGTGCTTGCACCGGGACGGAGCAGCTCTGCCTCGTCCCAGGTGACACCCAGGACTTGGCACACACAGGCCCTGCAGGGTGTTCCTGTCCTGTACCCTGAGCCCCTTTGAGGGCAGTTGTATCTAGGGAAGCTGAGACCTTGCAAAGAAGTGTCAGATGACAGAGCTGGGCTTGGGCAGAGCCTGAGGACCAGCATCTTTGGGGGCTGCAGGCGTCTGGGTTGTGACAGATACAGCACTGCTGAGCAAGTGGAAGCTCCCATGCCAGAGGGGAAGAGGAAGGAGCCAGTGGAGGTAGAGCAGGTCCACAGCCCTCATGCTGAGGCTTGAGGATCTCCTGCCTTGGAAAGCCAGATGGAAAACAAATGATGCCTCTTACCAGATCAGCCCTTCTCATGGCTAGTAGTGGGGTGCAGTGCTCAGCTTCGAGGCTGGCCTGCTGGGCACTGCCAGCCTGGCTCTGTGCCCACATCTCCAGCTCAGCTGCAGGACATCACGCAGTTCCGAACAGGGTCCCCCATACAGGGAATGCAACGAACATAGACCCAGCTCTAAGTATTCAGCAGGGAGCACATGCCTTGGCACAGCCTTCAGGCTTGCATGGAAACATCACTGTTCTCTTGGGGTTTAAACAGAGAACCTTCTCCTGAAGGCACAAATCTGCATCTGCCTTTTCATTTCAGAACAACTGATAAGATGGGACCAAACATCTTTCCAAACAGACTATTGGGTGAAGAACATCCCTTTTACATATTTCTAATGTGAAAATCTCTGCCAGGAATGCAGCCTTGTATTTAAGAGAGGGAAAGGTGCCACACACGTTGTCAGCAGAGCAGCTGATGTACATTCCCACCTAGCTTTTCTCATGAAAACTTGTCTGGGAACCTGTACTCCATGACACTTTCCATAGGACATCTTAAAACGGTGCCTGAGTTAACAGTATGCATGCATTATGAGTAAGAATAATGAACTTGGGATTTCATTACCTGCCTTTTCAGTACATAAGCATCTATGAAGTGGTTTATAGAGAAATAATCAGTAAGAAATTTACCCTGGATTTTTAGAAATGGATAATTTTAGTACTATGATTTTGTTACATGAACAGCAAAGTAAGAATTATCTACATAAAAACAGACCTATGCTTTTTGAAGTTCAGAAATGTCATTCCTTGTTTTTTCACCAGTATTAAGGTTTATGTGTTTTCTTATCACAAAACCAAAATTTTGGGGCTACAAACTTTTTACCCAAGGCCATACAATGTTATTTCAGCAGAATAACTAACAGAATGAAAAACGTGTTTTACCATAAAAGGGACACGCTCATTTTTTTGAGAAAGCTGATATTTCTCCCTAAGACAGTTGCTATGAATTGCACTTGCTGCAGCGCTTCCTAGTTCAGGGATGACCGTAGCCTTGCTTATGTCCAGGAACAACTCCCCTGTACACACACACACACACAAATGGCTTGTCCTACTGTCCTGAAGGAGCTACACTGATGCAACAAGAATCAACATCAACATCAATCTAAATGCTGAAAGCATGGTCTGCAGTACCAAAAACTATGACTTTTGGCTTGTTAATATAATTGCTATATAAGCTAACTTAGATATTGACAACATTTCCTTGAAAATACTTTTCTACAAAGTATCACAGACATCCTCCAAGCCCAGATACAATATAGTGGGAAGTAGTTATGCTCTGTACACATTCTTCTTATTCTAGTACACATTCTTCTACTGCAATCTTACAATGCACAGGAAAGACTTACATATATGTATACAATCCAGCAAGTGAATTATTTTGTATTGAAGCAAAGAAGCACAGAGTCAGTGTCAAGCCAGTTACAGACCAAGTCCCCTCCACTCTCGTTGGCTCAGCAAAAGAGTGCTCACAAAGCAGTAACTCCCTTTTGTGCCCAGATTCATAATGCATGCTCTTAACTCACCTTCTTTTGAGCACAAGAGCCTGGGAGGAGCATCAGGAGAGAGCACAATGCCAAAGGCAAGAACGTGGCTTTCCCTTTCTCCAAGTCTTCAATCCTCATCGGGAGCAGATTGCTCTCTGTCTTGGGGTTACCCATCACTTTACACAATTTACACACATGAGCTGGCAGTGGGGATACAGGGTGTACTCACAGACAAACTCTGACACTAAGCTCATGTATTCCCTTTATTGAACTGTACTAGTTATTGCAATCAGATTAAGTCACATTTATAAAGCAGACCATCCAGTTGCACTGAAACCGATTATATTCATTACATAGTTTTAATCACTGTCCGGTGAACTGGCAAATCCAATCAAAGCATTAGTCTTTAATTAAAAAATTAAAAAGAAATATTCAGACAATAGCCAAGCAATCACGTCACAATGCACAGTTACCTAAAATTGCAATTAAAAAGCAGTTAACAAAAAAAAAACCACACCTAATCTTTAACTATCAATATAATACAAGAAGCAACAAAGGGCAACAGCATCAAAGCAGATTTATCTAACACTATAAATTCAGTCAGAAGCAGAAGCTCTAAAGTACACTAGCTGAAGCAGGACAATAAAAAATACTGAGCATGGAATACTTTTAATCTCTTCCATTAATATTCATTTCCAGCTGCTTATAATAGCAGCGCCTCATGGCCAAATCATTAGAGTTTTACATCTGGGTTGCAAATGACACTTTGATTGGATGTAATGTTCAAATGGTCCTCCCCACTGTGCCACCGTCAAGTCTTCTGCAGAGAGGTGTCCTGTAGTGCCAGTGGCTCACTGTGCGTGCTGGCTCAATGTGTGGTTCTGGAAAGACGAAAAAAGGAGACATGCATGAGGGGCAGAATAATAGAAAGCATGCCCATACCCTCCTACTCAGTACCATTTATGCAGAGCTCGACATAAAAGCTTCTCAATTATTACAAAACAAAATGCAATAAAGAAAAAGTACTCATAAGTAACAGCTGCCAAAATGACACATTTGCTTTGTTCTGATAGATCTGTTAATGCTGGCATGAACTTAGAAAAAAATTTCTACAAGCCAAGTACAGCCATAAGGTTTTTTTTTTTTTTTTCTCCTCCTTTCAGTACATATAAAGAAAGTAGTAACACTTCACGGCAAAATCTGCCTTTAGGGATTCCCTTAACTGTAACAATTAAAAAAAAAATCTGAATCGCTGTGGGAACCCTTGCCATATTTTACTCTTTTATTCTCACTAGTAACTGGTGCAAGCACTGGCAGAAAGAGACACCAGATTGTGACACATACTTCTCAGTCCAAGAAATACTTCAGCAATAACAGCTGAACCACCAGTTCAGGCAACAGGGTAACATACCCAGCAGAAAAAAAGCTGGACATGTAACCCAAAAATTAAATTTCTTTAAATAATAGACTTTGCTCTACACTCTTCCTTAAGCCGCTTACAGGATTTCTGTTTTTTTTTTTTCTTTTATTTCTTTTATTTTTTTTTTTCCTGGTAGATTTGTATTAGCCTCCTGTCATCACACTCTTCCGGAGCAGAGGCTGCTGACCTATCCTGCCATTTTGTGCAGGAGCCAATAAATCGTGCAGTGATCTCGGAGCCATATTTTCAGAGCGGTACTAAGTCACCTACATTTTCTCTGCAGTCCTACATATAAGCACAGCTTTGTTCCTGTGACTATTCAGCTTCTGGAGCAACTAGAGATTTGCTTTAACATGAGCTTTTGTTGGGCTGGGTCCTTAGCATTCCCAAATGTACAAAGTCATTTGCATCATTTTAAGCCCGTGTGATTTAACGTGTCTCCATCTGCCTAATAACAAAGGCTACTCAAGTCCACCAGCTTGAAAAATAAGTTTTTAAACTCCAGACGAATTTAGCAAACAATTACTTATTTACAATGACAATGCTTTAAAATAAACTAAGTTTAACTTTTCATAAATCATCTGGTCCCTGTACATTATCCACAGTTACATCTCAATCCGGGGAAGGAAAAAAAGACCTCCCACTCTATCCAGAGGCGACATCTGCCTCATGGAAATGGTCTGTGGAAGAGCTCGCGGGCGCGTTGGCAGCGCGGAGCCCTCCGGACTGCGCGCTCCTGAACAGCCGCCGCCAGGTGTCAGAAGCGCTGCCGAGCTGCTAAACCCCGTCCAAAGCTGCCTGCGAGGTGGCGGGCGGCTGCACGGAGGCAGTCAGGCCCTCGGGCCGCGCGGAGCGAGGCGAGGGCAGCAGGCGAGTGCTGGGCACCCCGGGAGCCCCTCATGCGGGTCAGGGCCACGGCAGAGCAGGACGGCTGCGTCCTGCCTGGCTGGCAATAGCCCTCCAAGCGCAACCCTGCTACACGAAGCGCAGAGCTTCCTGAGCCAAAGCAAACGTGTTGGAAAGCCTAGCAAAGGCAAGGGTTGCACTCGAATAACGCCAAGGGAAGGCACAGCTTCATTTTTAGACAATTTAACATGACCAGGCATAAAATCCAGTGGCTCTTTACTTTGTTTTAGGTGGAAATGTTACCTGTCTTAAGGAGGAATGACCTCTGCAGTGCTGGATGTTATTCTTAAATCAAGTGCTAAAGTTACATAAGAGACCGAATAAAGCTGCATAAACATAATGACAAGGCTGAGCAGGCGCTTGCCCATCAAACCTCCCTGGAAAAGCACTAAGAATAACACACGCTGGAGAATCCACCCGCCACTCCATGCTCAGAACCACTCCTGGGCATTCCACAATGGCCCTTTCTAGCACACTTCATTACATTTCTATTTTTAGGTCACCCTGAATATCAATAAAAGAAACTATGCAAGGTTTACCATCTTCAAATCGAAAGAAGGGCTATTCATGGTAGACAAATCCATACTTATTTAGGCAGTGTCATTTAAGAGATAATGCACAATCAGCACTAGAAGCATGACGCATGGTCTACAGTCAGACTACATGATTTCAAACTTGTGTGGCTTCTGCATTGATTACAGCAGGCAGGTCAATAAAGGAATGGTATGTGGCTCTAAATCTGATAATGAAGCTTTCATTGCAAGCCCTCCCTCCTCAAACACAGGTTAATAATACATCTGAACACTCCTAATACAGCAAATACTCTGTTTTTATGAACAGAGTTTACACAAAGAAGCAAATACATTACACTCAAATCCTGCAGCTATGCTGCTATGCTGAGCTGAGTCAGGTACGAGCTGAAAAACTAAACATACTATATAGTTAAAAAGATAAAATATACATTTTTTTCATATGCAAATGTTGATTTAATGATAATATCTGGGGAATGCACCATTTATTCCCTTTGCATGCATTACTGGCAATCAATATGCCGACTAGTCCCTGGACCGAGCAGTTAATAAACAGAGCCAGGTTTAAAGAGGATGTGGGAAGGCCCTGGCCGTGTCCATAGGGGCAGGCGCCTGTGCGCACTCGGGCCTGCGCGGCCACGACAGCCCCGGCTGGGGCCGCAGGACAGCAGCCCCAGGCCTCACGCACCGGCCGCCGTGATTCTGCCTGTGCCGGGAGCTCCAGAACAGCCCGGTGTGCAGCCAGGAGGCTCGCGGCGGCCTGGCCGTGTCCTCTGCTACCAGGGAGCATTTCTCACCACCAACACGTATTGCAGACTACACACACGCCCTCCGGCCGCGGCCTGGCAACCTCGGTCTCCCCCTTTCCTCTCACCCCCACGAATGGTGCCAGGCTGGCAGCACGTGGCCATGAAGGCCACAACGTTTGGGAATGTGCAACAGTGCGGGGACACTCCTGCCCAAGAGCCTTTTGCTGGCTACCTGGGCACCTTCCCATACCTTCCCCCTACTAGGAGCGGGCTAGCAGGAAACAGCTTTGAAGTGATTTCTCACTCTAAAAGTTACAATTAAGAAATAAATACTGCAGCACTGATCTGCAAAGGAAAATGCAGGAGCCACAAAACCAACGCATCTGCAGGCATGGCGATGTGTGTGATTGCACATGCCTACCTGCACGTAAGCACTATGTGTTTGGGGGCCAGCAGGAGGCAGGACATAATTTGGAAACTGAACATTAAAAATGGTCTTTCACAGCTCCTGTTAGGTCCCCTGGTTTATGCACAGCTCACAGCTGATACCCCACAGAATACATCATTCTGAGACATTATTGCATCTGGAAAACTCTACAGCGGCACTAAGTCACCTGTCAAGATCAAGTAAGTCACAGCTTATTTATAGGGCAAGGTTGGAAAATTTCTTTTTTTCTTTTCTTAATAATCATGCAAAATGGATAGCGATCCTGTTAGCCATGTCAGTGGGAAAAATGCAACTATCCCGAGCCCCAGGGCTGTCTCAATGTTTAAGTGGAATTTTCTGCTCGCTGCACAATCCCCAAATGAACCATTTGTGGAAGTATCTGTGACCAAGAAACTGGGCAATAGCCTTCGTAGGAAATAAAAAGATTTCAAAGGATGGTTGATTATTTGTCTGTGTATATACTGATTGCTCTCTGCTCGTCCCCGGGGACACCCCCTGCCTGCCCTCTGGATGTGGATCAAGCCAGTCTTGCAGGACACCTACAATGAATATTTCTGTGTTTTTTTCCACATGTGCTGTTACGAAAACACTGGCATGACAACCTCCATTTTCAGAGCACTAAGTCAAGAAGGAAGGCATCAGGCTTGAAAGATGATCACTTACAGCAGTTAAACAAACTCTTACAAGCCAGATAAAGATGGAGAGAAAAAGCACACACAGAAAAGCAGCACATGATGGAGCAGCGCTCCAAGCCAGGCTGTCAAGCTGGGAGGCTCCCACACTGCAACAAAATTCCCTGCCAACAAGTCACAGGTGTACTACACAGGAGCAGGTGAAAAAAATAAAATGCAACTGCAAGGGGTGTGATAATGGTTTGAGGCCATAATACATCCAGTCTATAGTGCCATTGCGCATCTGTTACGCATTGAGGTGTTTTGTAGCAGCCATTTCGTAGGTATATTCTCCATGCGTGTAAGCACATACACCTAAAAGACCATATGTTATACAGGGGTTAAGAAACGGCACAACAAGGCTGGAGACACCCACCATCCTCCCGTGAAATTCATAAGCCTTCTACAGTTTTATATATGGATTGGGACTCTGATTAAAGGTTATAAAGCCTCCCTCTCTCTCATTGCAAATCCTATTAAAACGAACAGAAACCATTCCTCAAATCATTTCAATAGGAATTATGCAGATAATAGATTCATGTGACAAACAGCCAACATGAAACTTAACTGGTGATTAGCCCATGGGGTGACCCGTGAATAGGAGCGCGCCTGCGTGCCCGGCAGCGCCAGCACGGAGGGCTCTGCTGCCCACAGCCGCTTCCCGCTGCTGCCTGCTGCTCCTGGCTCCGGCACCGCCGGACAGCAGGGCAGGAGCGGAGCCTGCGGGTGCCGGGGCGCTGCAGGGGCCCCCAGCCCATCACTGCAGCACCCTGGTTCCCTCGCCCCAGCCAGGAGCTGCCCTCCTCCCCAGCACCCAAGAATGGGGTCAGGGTCCTGGCTGGGGCCTCCTTCAGGATTTGCTCTTTCTCCCCGATTTACGCTCCCTTGTCCCTTATGGATTGAGCTGGGAGAAAGGAGAGAGGCAATCCCTGCTTTTAATGTCAATGCATTCAGCTTGCAAGAGACAAGCTAATCCTCAAATTCAGCTGTTGACTCGAGGCAAAGGTTCAAGTCTCGCATTTGAACATTTGAAAAGCAGACCAAACACAAACTGCTACAAGCAGAAGTCATGACGTCTAAATATTTACAAAACACCAACTGCCATACATATATTTTTCAAACTATTTTTGCATTGCTTTAATTTTTAAAATGGTCCA